TTTTTTGAGACAGAGTCTCACTCTGTCACCAGGCACCAGGCTAGAGTGCATTGGAGCGATCTTGGCTGACTGCAACCTTCGCCTCCCAGGTTCAAGCAATTCTCCTGCCTCAACCTCCCGAGTAGCTGGGTCTACAGGCACACGCCACCATATATGTCCCTGAAAAGTTGCTCTTCAGAAACCTGGTCCCCTACCAAATGGATCCCCTGGCCTGTAGACCTCAGAGAAGGGGGAGTTGAGGACTGAACTCTGCTGTTCTTTGTTCTAAATTTCTTCATGAGGATCCTGATGGAAGTTGGGCCAGACCTGAACATTCATTTCTGCTGACCCCAAGGTTTTAGACAAAGCTTCGTTTCCTTAACTTATCATAAATCAGAGTGTTTGAATTCATATGACTTTTTTTTTTTTTTTTTTTTTTTTAGACAGAGTCTCACTCTGTCGCCAGGTGCCAGGCTGGAGTGCAATGGCGCATTCTCGGCTCACTGCAACCTCCGCCTCCCAGGTTCAAGCAGTTCTGCCTCAGCCTCTCGAGTAGCTGGGACTACAGGCACGTGCCACCATGCCCAGATAATTTTTGTATTTTTTTTTTTTAGTAGAGATGGAGTTTCACCATGTTGGCCAGGATGGTCTCGATCTCTTGACCTCATGATCCGCCAGCCTCAGCCTCCCAAAGTGCTGGGATTACAGGCATGAGGCACTGCGCCCGGCCCACATAACCTTTAAGTCTCCCCCTTTATCCCACGCTTTGAGGCCAGACAAGTGCATCACCTCCATGTATCAATTCATGATTTTGCCCATAACTTCTCCTTTCCTGAAATTTACCCCTGCCTTTAAAAATTCTTGCTCGTAAGCCATTGAGGAGGTCAGGTCTTAATTATGAGCTGCCCCATTCTCCTGGCTTGGTGCCCTGCGAATAAATGTGCTCTTTTCTCCAGTTGCAAAATCTCAGTGTTGGAGTTTCCTCTTACTGCACTGGGCAAGTAGACCCCACTTCAGTTTTGTGACAAAATGAACTTTAGAATTTCTTGTCAATATTTTAAAAACCTGATTGTCTTTAAGATTCATGTCTCTTTACTCTATTTATTCAGGTCTTCTTTTACCTATCCCAGTCAAGCTGACTAATTTATACATTCACTACTTAACTTTTATACTTTTTTTTTTTTGAGGCAGTGTCTTGCTCTGTCACCCAGGCTGGGGTGCAATGAATGGTCTGATGTCAGCTCACTGCAACCTCCGCCTCCCAGGTTCAAGGGATTCTCCTGCCTCAGCCTCCTGAATACCTGGGATTACAGACACGCACCACTATGCCTGCCTAATTTTTGTATTTTTAGTTGAGCCAGGGTTTCACCATGTTGGCCAGGCTAGTCTCGAACTCCTGACCTCAGGTGATTGACCCGCCTCGGCCTCCCAAAGTGCTGGGATTGCAGATGTGAGCCACCACGGCTGTCCCAACTCTTATACTTTATAAAATAAAATTCACAAATATGAAAAAAACTTTGTCATATCATCTAGTTTGTGGGTTCTGAAAATATGGTCATAGCATATCATAGAATATAGGCCAAGTTTAGTCGTTATGGAAGAATGATTTTTTTCTACCAACGGTGCGATAAGAAGCTGCTCCAGTTATTACCTACTTAGTAATAATAGTTAACATTTGGGGAGGCGTTACTTTGTGTCAGGCTTGGTGATAAACTCTTCACATACATATCTCATTAATCCACTCAATAACCCTATGCAATATTCTTCTGGTCCTTGTTTTACAAGTGAAACAACTGAGCCTCTGAAATGTTCAAGAACTTACCCAAGTCCACTCAGCTGGATAGTGGCTGATCTGAACCCAGTAGTGCCCCTCTGCCCTCACTGTTAACCACTAAAGTTGCATGTATGCTGGCCCGGGCACAGAGGGGCCATGGGGTCCCCTGGGGTTAATGAATGAGTTTGGACATCTAATGCTTCTCCATTTCTACAACTCGACTTGATTCCTACCTTCCTGCAAGAACCTTGAAAGGAGAATTCCCTCATAGACTCACAAAGTATCTTCTTCTTGTCTATAATCTATCTTTCACAGCAGAAAGATTCTTCATTTAAACAAGGCCCTAACCTCCCTCATTCCCCAGCCTCCAGTAGAAGAAATGTCCCTTCTTCCAGTCAGGAGTTAACCACCTGCCGTAACTTCCTCTTTAGGCATAGCCAGAGGAAACAGTGTGGCTGTGCCTTAGCGCTACAGGAAGAAAATGAGTTGGCAAAGGAGCTGTGGAGGGATTCCTGAGCCTTCATGCCAGCTGGAAATTTAAGGCCTTGGCATTCGGGACTTCACCCTTCGAAATGTCTTAGAGGATGGCCCAGCAACCAGCCAAATGGCCCAGTGGCCTGGCCCAGTGGAGACGGTCTCAGCTTTCGACAAGCCAGCTGGAGAAAGGGCTGGACAGGAAGGGGCCCACGGACAACAGATACTGATAGGGCGCCCTGGGAAGATCCAGTTTCCCTCCAACAGTGCCTGGCTCCCATTATCGGATTAGATGCAAAGTAGGCTGGCATGCCAGGGGGTGAGGAGAACAGTGTCTCCAGAAATCCTCTGTGAAGACACCCAAGTATTGTTTAGAAGCACCCCTGTATCTGGAAGACAGAAAACTGCACCCACTGCTTGCAGACATACGGTTCCAGTTCTCCCCACAGGACTTGCTCATACATCCAGCAAATATTTAATCAGTGCCCACCATCTGCCACTGTGCCAGGTGCTGGGCCTCATCATGAGTCAGGCAGAGGTGGTCCATGCAGTTTTTCCACAATGTGAGAGGGTGTTGAGGAAACTTTTAACTCTCATTTAACTATGGAACTATCTCTGGTTTAGTACCTACTACAAAATAAAACCAAGCGCTTGTTGATAATTTCTGAGTGGATGATTGTGGAAAAGCCGGAGAAGACTGGGGATCAAGCAGGAGAGATGGAATAATGAAACTTCCCTTAACTATCATCACTGTTACCTCCTGCCTCCTGACTCCTGCAGCTCATTTCCAGGGGGTTGCAGCTTGGGGGGGAAGCAGAAAGCACATCCCTCACGGACCCTAATGGGGGGCAGATTCGCTGGCAGCAGTCACAAATACGTGCTATACACACTCCCCGTCCTTTCACCCTTCCTAGCTGGAGGGGACCAAGAGAACGCAGTGTGGGAGGCAGTATGAGGGGTTGTTGAGCTGAAGGCAGTGAAAAGCTAAATGGAAGAAAGCTCTCTGCCCTCCACTTGCCTAAATGCAGGATATAATTTAGAAGGATAAAAGGTGTCCGCTCCCTCTCTCTACAGGGAAAACAAGTTAACCACTGAAGACAGCTTTAGACTGTCATGGGCCTGGAGCTGGAATCAGAGGAATCGACATGAAGGTGCTTTACTAACTCTGTTTATCCGCCAGTTACTTACCTTTCTACAAGTTCCCCGCCTTAGACACTCAAAGTCCTTTTCCTTTGTCTGTTCTGTCACTTCTTTAAAACTTGGCTTTTCTTTGTTGAAGGTGCTGTGCAAGCTGGAATTCAAAGCTACCTCTCCAAGAACTACTCAATTCCTGCGTGTCTCCCATGCAGATGTGAAATATACATGTGAATAAACTTCCACTGGTTTTTCTCTTGTTAATCTGTCTATTGTGTCAGGGGTTCATTTCAGCCACAAACTAGGGGGGTGAGGAAAAACCCCTACAGTGACCTTGGCACGCACTGAAGAAGGCCCCCTCACTTTCCAAGCTTTCCCATCTCAGGTGGAAGGAGGCTGCTAAGTCATGTGGCAATTCTTCAGGAAAAGATCAGAGTGCTTCTACTTCTGCAGTTCTAAAAATATCTTTAAGTGCATGAAAACATCCATAATGCATGGCAGGGACACAGGCTGTAAGAGAAGCCCTGGGATGAGATCAAATGTCAGTCCCCAAATTCCACCACAAAAGATGCTTTCCTGCTGCATAGCTGCTTCCCAGAGTCTCCTGCTAAAAGAAAAAGAATCCAACTGGTAAAACGAGCATCAGGTAGAAGGCTCAGATTTTCCTGCAGAGGAAACTGATATATATGCGTGCCCCATAACGGTGAGGCCTGCTTCCCACCCTTATCCCCCCACCCACCCCTGCACCATGGTCTCCCACACTGGGACATTGCAGCAGTGGCCAGCCCCTCCTCACCCCTGCACCATGGTCTCCCACACTGGGATGCTGCAGCAGTGGCCAACCCCTCCTCACCCCTGCACCATGGTCTCCCACACTGGGACGCTGCAGCAGTGGCCAGCCCCTCCTCACCCCTGCACCATGGTCTCCCACACTGGGACACTGCAGCAGTGGCCAGGGCATCCTCCTGCCTTGGCTCTGGCCCCATAAAGTCCTGTCACCACTTAACCAGCTTGACCCTTTAAACATGAATCAGATTAAGCAACTCCCTTGCTGGGGAACTCCAGAGCCTCCCGCTGACATTTGGACCAACATCCCAGACGTTCCTCCAGACTTCGATGCACCTGCCAGACACTGTCCCAGCGGCCGTCACTCATTTCGACCTTAGGGCCTTTGGAACTGCTGGTGTATTTGCCTACAGGACCCTGCTCCAGGACTGCATGGGCTTCCCTTCTGCACTGTATTCAGATTTTGGCTCAAGTCTCCTCTCCTCAAAACACACTTCCCAGCAAACCCTTCTAAAGCAGCTTCGCGCCTAGATGAGATTCCTAGGACTGTTCTAACAGATGACCCCCAGCTCCACTGGAAACAACTGGCATTTATTCTCTTACAGGGCTGGAAGTCAGAAGCCCAGAATGTTTCGATGGGCCAAGTTGAGGTGGAGGCAGGGCCCTACTCTTGCCAAAGCCTCTAGGGGAGAATCCTTCCTTGCTGGTTCAGGCTGGAAGAGCTGCTCCCCTGGCATTCCTGGGCTCAAGGCCCCTCCCCGGTCTCCCAAGCCTGCAGGGTAGCATCTTGTCACTTGTCACTTTGCCAGCTTGTGCTGCAGCCAAATCTCCCCCCGCACCCCAACCAACGCAAAGACATGTGCCATTACCCAGATAACCAGGAGAATTGTAAGAGCAAATACAAATCAGAAAGAAAAAAATAGGTTTTCTTTCTCCATGGTGAAAAAAGGCAGAGACGCTCCTCACCAACATCCCCTTTCCTGGGTACACTTACATTAGAAAACTCATGATTATGAATTTTTCTCTGTCCATGTGAGATGCATGTAAATCTTTGTTTTATTTCATATTTTTATTATTTTTTAAAGACAGAGTCTTTGCCACCCAGGCTGGAGTACAGTGATGCTCACTGCAGCCTCAAACTCCTGGCTTCAAGTGGTTCTCCTGCTTCAGCCTCCCAAGTGGCTGGGAATACAAGCGTGCACCACCACACCTGGCTAATTTTTAAAAATTTTTTGTAGAGACAAGGTCTCTATGTTGCCCAGGATAGTCTCAAACTCCTGGCTTGAAGTGGTCCTCCTGCCTTGACCTCCCAAAGTGCTGGGATTACAGGAGTGAGCCACCGCACTGGGCAGAGAGATACATACATGTTTTCTAAAGCTAAGAAAAAACCTTTTGCCAGCTCCACAACTCAGAACTGTTTTTCTCTAGGACCTCTCTCAAAAAGCGAGCCATCTCTTTGAAATGTAAACATCAGTAATCCCAGCACTTTGGGAGGCTGAGATGGGAGGATTGCCAGGAGTTCAAGACCAGTCTGGGCAACACAGTGAGATCCCATCTCTACAAAAAATAAAAATAAAAAAATTAGCCAGGCATGGTGGTGCACACCTATAATCCCACCTACTCAGGAGACTTGGGTGGGAGGATCGCTTAAGCCCAGGAGTTTGAGGTTACAGAGAACCATAATTGTGTCACTGCACTCCAGCCTGGGAAACAGAATAAGACCCTATCTCTTAAAAAAAAAAAGTACTGAGATGGAAGGGCCATATGTGATCAGGTCAGCTGACTCTCATATACATATATGAAACGTAAACATCAAGGAAGACAGTGTCCCTGTCTCCCAGTCTGCATGAGAGGGAGAGGGTTAGTCTCCTAACTTTGGCTCTAAATTACAAACCTATTCTTTGTCATATGAGTTTATTTTTCCTTTGGATAAAGGCAATTAGCAAGCACAGGTGGTTACCCCAATTACTAAGTGAATTTAGAACAAACTGTGACAAATGGTATGTTCCAGTCCACTCACTGAGGGTGAGTCACTTATCTTTGTGTGTGTGGTGTTTGTGTGTGTGTGTGGTGGGTTGTGTGTGTGGTGTTTGTGTGTGTGGTGGGTTGTGTGTGTGTGGTGTTTGTGTGTGTGATAGGTTGTGTGTGTGGTGTTTGTGTGTGTGTGTGGTGGGTTGTGTGTGTGTGATTGGTTGTGTGTGTGTGGTGGGTTGTGTGGGGGAGTTATGTGTGTGTGGTGGGTTGTGTGTGTGTCTGTGTGTGGTGGGGTGTGTGTGTCTGTGTGTGGTGGGTTGTGTGTGTGTGGTGGGTTGTGTGTGGGGGGTTGTGTATGTGTGGTGGGTTGTGTGTGTGGTGGGGCATGTGTGTGGTGGGTTGTGTGTGGTGGGTTGTGTGTGCCTGGTGTTTGTGTGTCTGTGTGTGATGGGTTGTGTGTGTGGTGGGGGGGGTGTGGTGGGTGGTTGTATAAAAGAGTTTCTTTTTGTCTTTGCCATCTCTTTTTTTTTTTTTTTTGAGACGGAGTTTCGCTCTTGTTACCCAGGCTGGAGTGCAATGGCGCGATCTCGGCTCACCGCAACCTCCGCCTCCTGGGTTCAGGCAATTCTCCTGCCTCAGCCTCCTGAGTAGCTGGGATTACAGGCACGCGCCACCATGCCCAGCTAATGTTTTGTATTTTTAGTAGAGACGGGGTTTCACCATGTTGACCAGGATGGTCTCGATCTCTTGACCTTGTGATCCACCCGCCTCGGCCTCCCAAAGTGCTGGGATTACAGGCTTGAGCCACCGCGCCCGGCCTGTCTTTGCCATCTCTTAATGGGTTTCCTGTGATGTGCATCTCATTCTGGTTTAATGCTTATTCCAGAATAAAACTTTAATATCTCTTCTACTTTTGTGGAGAGGTTTTCTGGCTTAACAGGAGATTTTGTTTTTAATTAATTTCCCCAGCATAATATCCACACCTCAAAATTCTTAGCTTAATCACATCTGCTAAGTGCATTTTGCCATGCAGGGTTCCATTCACGAGTTCCAGAGATTAGGACCCAGATATCTCTGGAAGCCCTTGCTGAGCCTGTGAAGCCGCTTTGCCTACTCCATCACTTTCTAGCCCCTACTCAGCTATATTGTTCATAGCATTCTCACCTACCGGAAATTAGCGATATTTTATTCACTTGGACAGTTTTTGTCTAGTTCCAACCACAATAGAAGCCACACGAAGGCAGGGATTTGGCCTGTCTTTTCACTACAATATAGCCAGTCTCTAGAAAGGTGTCTGGGCCATGGTATGTATTCAGTGTTTATGTTTAAAATGAATGAGCAAATGTAAGTACAATCTCACGGTTAAGCTAATTTGATCAGACCACGCTGAATTGTCACACTGCAGTTTGCAGCAGTGTGAAACATTTTTTTTTTTAAGAGACAGGATCTCACAATGTTGCCTGGGCTGGACTTGGCCTTTTGGGCTCAAGCAATCCTCCAGTCTCAGCCTCCTGAGTAGCTGGGAATACAGGCAAGAGTACCCCCATACTCGGCACGTGAACCAATTGTTAGCAGTAAATTTCCAACTGTTTTCCCTTGGCTGCTGCTTGGCAAGCAGGTGGTGAGAGTCTGGTAGAACCTGCAGTGAGAGAAAATACCACCTCTTCTTGGAGAACGATTTACATCGGCATATTAGTGAGGCAAAGAACAGAAACTCGGAAGAAAGGTTGTTTATAATTCTCTTCCTTGAAGGACTGACTATAGGTAGCAGGGTCTTAAATATACTCTTTTTTGGGGAACATATTCCAGTTAGGATAACTGGGATGCAAGAACCTTTAGGGCACCTCTCACTCCCAGGAGGAGAGGACGTGACCAGAGTCACCCACTGGTGTGAGGAAGGTGCTCCGCTCCTTGCTGACCACGCTTACCACCATGCCTCTTGGTGATTTGGTCTTAGAGACAGTACATTGCCAGCAACAATCTGCAACAAATCACCTTGGTGCCTCAGTCAAGACAGAACATGCTCCACTTTATTTTTATTTTTATTTTTTTAATTTTAATTAATTAATCTGAGACGTAGTTTTGCTCAGCCACCCAGGCTGGAGTGCAATGGCGCGTTCTTGGCTCGCCGCAGCCTCCGCTTCTCAGGTTCAAGCAATTATCCTGCCTCGGCCTCCCGAGGATTACAGGCGTGCACCGCTGCGTCTGGCTAATTTTTTTGTATTTTTAGTAGAGACGGGGTTTCACCACATGAGCCAGGCTGGTCTCGAACTCCTGACCTCAGATGATCCACCCACCTCGGCCTCCCAAAGTGCTGGGATTACAGGTGTAAGCCACCACTCCTGGCCCACACTCCACTTTAATTAGAAATCTGCTCTGTTACTCTTTCAAGGTCAAATCTCATTTATGATTACAATACTGTGTCTCTCTACTCCAAACTGGTATCAGGTTTCATCTTCAACTTAATTCAGAAGATGAATTTAGAGCCCAGGTATACCTGTTCTTGGGTTTACTGTCTGCTAAAATCCAAGCTTGATTTGGAAATGCAAGGAGACTCTGAACAGACTCTTAGAAGTCTGTGATGCAGCAGAAGCAGGTGTGTTGTCAAGTGTTAGTTTCCTGTGGTTGTCATGTGCCTGTGTGTGTCATGTTTATGAGCCACATGTGCACATTTACCAAATCGCTGAAATACCACCATTAACCTCAGCTCACTCCTGCCCAGACCCCTTTCACATGAAACCACTCGGTGACTTGGAGGAATTGGAGTGTAGAACCTGGCTTCAACTCTGTACCCTCTGATCTACTTCCAAGACCGAATCCGGTTCATCGTTAAACGTGGTGTCTTCAGAGTTGGCCAGGAAAGTCCCAGCTGGGTTACCTTCACTTTCTGAAAGCAAGAGAAGAGAATATTCTCTTAATGGGATTTAAGAGGGCTTATTTTTGGAAATTATTAGAAATTACCACAATGTAACATGTTTACTACATAATTTTTTTTTTTTTTTTTGAGACGGAATCTGGCTCAGCTGCCCAGGCTGGAGCACAGTGGCTCAATCTCGTCTCACTGTAACCGCCATTTCCCGGGTTCAAGCGATTCTCCCGTCTCAGCCTCCCAAGTAGCTGGGATTACAGGCACCCATCATCATGCCTGGCTAATTTTTGTATTTTAGTAGAGATGGGGTTTCACCATGTTGGCCAAGCTGGTCATGAACTCTTTACCTCAGGTGATCCGCCTGCCTCAGCCTCCCAAAATACTAGGATTACAGGCGTGAGCCACCATGCCCAGCCAGGTGATTATGACATAATAATGTTCTATTAAATTACCATATTCTGGAAATAATATACTAAAATTAAATTTTAATATAATAAATCTTAGTATATTATTACATATACTATATTATGTGTAATAGGATAATATACAATATATTATTGATATATTCAATGATAAATTTAAATTAATTTTAAAAAGAACACTCGTAAAGTATTTAATTTCACAGCATCTAAACTACCCTAAATGCCTCCCACTGGCTGAAATGCCATTCATTTTCTATGCCCTGAGCTGGTTTACAGTTCTAACAAATACACATATGGCATACAAAATCAGTGCAACAGATTGGCATGATTTCTGGTTAGAATGAAATTACAAGTTCTTTTACTTTTAAATAATTTTTAAAGCCAGTCAAATTTAGCAGTGGAGGGTTGTATACCAACTTTAGTGACACTAATGTGAATCAGTCCTGGTAACTCACTACCAGCCAAGCAGTGCTAAGGATGAAACCACAAAGCAACAGGGGATGATGTAAGTAGGTAAGAAAAATAATTCCACAGCTTAAAGAGTAATGGACATAGGTTGTGCTCAACGTCTC